CAATCTAGGTGGTCCAGTCTGGATTGCTGAACTGGCCTTTCCAGCATCACACATCTGTGTACTTCAAATTGCTTTACTGGGTCTTCCTCAGCTGTGTCCATTCTCTGGGATGCTTCACTCCCCAGGACATCAGCAGGAATCCATCAGATCACGAGGCCATACATTCACAGCCTTAATGGTCTGAGTTTAGTGCACAATCAAGCATCGAAGAAGCAAAGTGAATATAATTCAAGCTTCTTTTTTTCTTTTTTACTTTTTCTTTTCTTTTTTTTTTTTTTTAATTGTTTAAACATTTTATTTTAATGGCCCCTGGTATGCTGAATAGCACAAAGAACATCATGTGATGAATTCTGTTTGATAATCAATGGATGCTCTGGTGAACTTATTACATGAAATCACAACAGACAACCTGACCTTCAATGCATATCCTTCCTTTTTAAAGAATTCTGCCTTCTGGGCTGGCATTCTCCTTTTATGTGCTTCATTCTCCAGGGGACTGGGAGATTGAATTTAATAGTTAGCTGAGCAAGGATGAGCTGAACTCCACTCATGTTAACTTAATCATTCTTCTCAATGAGAAAACTTATTTTGGGAGTGTTTATGCACCTTATTTAGCCCAGTAACTGTAAATATAATATGCAAAAAAGGGATTGTTTTGAAACCCCTTACTGATCACATATAATTTTATTTAATATAGAAGTCCCTGGTTAAGGATTTGCAGTCTTAGATGAGTTGAGATTTTGAACCACTTGGAATCATACAAGACAAATTTAAGATTGCTCATGTAATAGATAAATCTGTATTTTAATTGGCATAATTTTAAATGTCAAATGTATCAGGAATGTATCTTTATGTGATACATTCCTGATAGTTACATATATTTAATTGGAATGAAGCATAGGATTTAATGCTGAATTCTTTGTGCAAATTCTGCTGGCCCAGGCTGTGATATCATCATGAAGGACATGCTAGGACATAGCACGAGCAGTTGGCATCCTTTAGTGTAAACCCAAGCCACAGTGATTAAATTCCACCAGAGCTAACAGGAACACAATTAACAGGTACTGTGGAGACAGAAAACCCCAGGAACTCAGAACTGAACTAGGGGTGGAAGTGTGTGGCCCTGCTGAACTGAGGCCTTAAGCACACCCTTTTCCTTCCCTGTTTCTCAGCCAGTCCTCTGACCAGTGCCTGTCTGACTCCAGTGAGGGCATTTAAATCACTCTTCAAATGCACAAGTTTCTCACTTTTCATCTTACTGTTCTCTCCCCCATCCTGCTGAGGGGGAGGGTGTAACTGCTCCTGTGGTACTCAGTTCCTGACTGGGAGGCAACACTCCACACCAGTAAGGGGACAAAAGGAGAGACGTGTGTGCATGGCAGGCACTGAGACAGAGAGAAAAAGGTGTGAAAGCAGAGCAACAGTTTGGGGTCATCCTTTTTGGTGATAACAAACCATTCCATAATTTAACTACATTATCTGACCACATACTTGTGAGAAGACCAAGCAAAGACCAGGAAGCAGCTGTAAAACAAAGCAAATATTCCTACAGCTTTGGCCAATAAGAACAAAAAAGTTTAAGTTGAAGGTCAGAGATACCCAGTGCCCATGACTTCCTACACCAGGACAGGGAACATGGCCAGCACCAGCATTGCATTAAATCTCTGCCCGTGCCTTAGGTGTCAGGTAAACCTGAATGAATAAATACATAATGTTCAGGTGATTGTGTCTGAAGATATACACAGTGCTCCCGAGGCATGGAGCCTCAGAGAGTTTCTATGAAGGAGAAGCAGGAATGAAGTTTCCTTTCCTACAGGCTTTAAATGAGCCCAGGTTATTTCCCAAGTCAAGCTGTATCAGTGAGTGACACTTCCTGAACTGCAATTTTTGCAACCTCAAAGAAGGCCTGGTTAAAGCAGCAGTTACCCATTTACGTAACCTTTACTGCTGGTAATTGAGAGTGTGCATTTCTCAGACAGTTTGGAATCAGAATTAGGCAGAGGGACCTTTAAAAGAAAACATGTAAAAAGCTTCATTCTGAGTCTGATTAGAGCTAAGGTCAATCTTCTTTAGCTCATCTCATTAGTGCTCTCTGGCAGCAAAACTTACTTCAAGACTCAAATATTTAATTCTTGGATATTTGTTTTGAATGGACAGCTAATAGGGGAGCTAATAGGGGAGATGTATCAAGATGTAAAAAGTCACTTAAGCTAATTATTGTGCAAATAACATGTGTAATTTTACATAATTTTCCCTCATCCTGTAATGGACATAATCCATTCACATACCCATGTAATGGCTATCCATATAATGGATCTAACCCTGCATGAAGTCAATCCCTTTTTTTGAGTAGCCTCTGTGTCTTTCACTCTACTGGGAGTCGATGCATTACATTGAGGCTTCATGAATATCCTGTTCCCAAATGAGGAACATCTGAAATTCATTGGGAAAAATAAATAGGAAAGTAAATCCAGGTAAACACTCTCAGTTTGATAAAGGTGGTGGAGTTTGCATTCAGGATCACCACACATATACAATGACAAGTTTGACTGAAATCCTGTGAAATCTTACTTCATGAGTGGCTGTGTTATTGTAGCTACACAACAGAAATAAATTCAGAAGCAATTCATATTCTATAAGAATATAGGGAGATAAAATGTATTTCCCTTCCTGAGTGTACCTAGAATATGTAATAGGATATAGATCTGAGTAGTCATTTATTTCCTGTCTTTCTTTCTTTATGTCCTTGCAGGTGCTAAATTACTTAAGCATCTTAAATAATTGCAGACAAAAATTTCTACACCAGAGCGAGGAACCAGGAGCAATTGCTTGTCTTGGAGTCAATTCCAAACCTCCCAACAGCATGCTCAGGATCTGGAACTCAGTACGTCCAGGCTATTTTAAAAATAAGTCCCTTTCGTATCATCCCCTCCCATCCTCAGCCAAAACTGCATTTCCTTCCACAGGTATGTAAAGCCTTGGACCCTTCCTAGGTGAGACGTCAATGTTGTTCTTGAAAATTTGAAACAAAAATCAGGTGGTTGGGATAAACCTCAATCCTAAAGTCACTTGAGGGTTTCCCAGTCTTCATATGACATTTTTCATTATGTTTATTGAATAAGTTTCAAGACAGAGATGAGTTTTTTTCCTCTTTCTTTTTTTTTTTTTTGAAAATACAGTAGTTTCAGCAATTAGATAGAAACAGTTTGTAAATGGCTTGTAATGAAAACTCTGAGTTAAAACTTAGAATCTTTTAAACTGATGTTTAACAAGCATTAGAATGAAAGGCTTCTGAGGGAATGAGGCTGCTGCTGCCATGAAAGAGCAGACACCCAGCCTGTTCCAGGTGCTTTAAACCATGTTCTCCTCACAAAGACTCCTCACAGGACTGTGAGGAGCTGCTGATAGGACAGATTTTTCTTAGGATTAGGCAGAGCAGATGTAACAGGACACAATTCAGCACTTTCTATACAAAAAAATGTCTTTGCATTAAAGCTACAACCTTTCAAAATCTCATCTTAACATCTCGTTTCATTATTGGGCCTGCATTTCCTGTCCCTAGACATGCCAAATGACTGTTTCTAAGATGCAGATGATACAATTATATCCAAGTGAAATTAAGTTTTCCAAGCAGTCTTTTACTTGACTTTCTTATCTTTACCTTATTTCCCTTCTAACTCATTTCATGTTGTAAATTTTGATGGAGGTAGCCTCCCAAAGCAATCTCTAGCTACGGGTCACTGCTGGCTATATTTTTATATGTATTTAGAGTTTTATTAGTAATTTCAACTAATTTCCTTTATTTTGGTAGAAGGAAAATTGAAGAGAATAGTTTAGTGGATATTAAAAACTAAAACACAATGGACCCCATATATCCAATTTAAGTGCTCCAGATATGAAAAGCAGATATATAGGAAAAGAAGGAAGTGTCTTTCATAAATGCTTCATGGTTCATATATTTTATTTCTGTGATTCAGAATGCAGAAAAGCTGAATTATGGCTTGCAGAGAGGATTACCATATTGGTAAAACAGATAATTTTCCAAGGATTTTACTATGAATTCCACTAAAGTACTATCAAAGAATGGTTTGGTTTAGGAGGGACCTTAAAGTTCATCCCATTCCACCCCTGCCATGGGCAGGGACACCTTCCACTATCCCAGGCTGCTCCTAGCCCCAGTGTCCAGCCTGGCCTTGGGATCCCTGTCCAACTGCCAGGGATCCAGGGGCAGCCACAGTTGAGTAATAACTCATAAATATCAAACTATACTTAATTCAATGGAAAAGAATGCTAACATGGTCAAACTTGTAAGGAGCTGTAGTTAAAAGGGAGAAAAATCTTGAATATGTTAACCAAATGACACTCTACAGAAATGAGACATAATTGTAAAACAGGCTGAGTAGTAACTAGAAATAAATTTTTATGGATATATTTTTAATGTTTTCTAATAATTCCAAAGGAAAAAAAAAATGGATGGTGAAAAAAAATTATTAACTTAGATAAAGCATTAGATTAGAAATTGTTTTACCTCAGCAAGAAAGCACTGCTACAAGGAGTGATAACAAATTGTGTCTGTTGGGAGTTCTGAGACTGCAGAGGAGGAGAGAGCACAAAAAGGGTTTATTTGGCTTGGAGGTGGCAACAGAGCTAATTTGTGGGCAGGCTGTGACTGTGTGTGGAAGGCATTAGGAAATATCAGGGTTTGGGTTCATTGATCAGGACTGTTATCTCCACTGGAATCAGGACTGTGGGAGGAATGGTGGCTGGAGAGATGTCAGGGGTTGTTTTTCCTTCACTGTACAGGCAAGGTTTATGGTGCTTTTGCTACTTTTTTTCTAATTGTGAAATCTAAGGGGAAAAATAGAAATCAGCTGCTTGGTGATGGGTTTTCCACAAAATCCTCACATGCTTCCATAGGCACAGGTTTCATTCAACTTGTTTAGTATATTTTGAAAGAAAGAAATAATATTGTTTTTTGAATGAATTAATGAACAGTTTAAGGACAGTCTCTAAGCAACCTGCAGCCTTATGTGTCATAAGAGATGAGTGCAGAGAGTATTTTAATTTTTTTTCTGAAGGGTAAAAATATTTCTACTGAAAAGGCAAAAGTAGCTCTTTCCCTTAATTATAGTTGGAAATTAACTAGTGAAAGAAAGACTAATTCTGAAGCTACAGTTGTAAGCATGGCCATTTTAGCCATGAAGGGGGATAGAGGAGACCTTTTAATTCCATTTGGTCAGGAGGGGAGAGCAGGGTGAGAATTTTGTATCATTCAAAATGTAGTAATAGCTATAAGTATAATATATTACTGGTATGCAAATAGGTTTGATCACTTGAAAATCAAAAGCAACCTTGCTTTAAGAAGTGTTAGCATGTTTGGTTAATTTTTCAATGGCCAAAATATCCTTGTCTTTTATATCATGAATATACTCCAAGAGCATTTTGAACATAATACATTTTCAATTCTCTCAGGCTCTTCCTTTATCTTTTTTTAAAAAAACCCACTGGCATGTGAATACTGAAGTGCATGAATGCATGGGGAAAAAAAGAATAATTTGTTGTAGTTTCATTTGTAGTGGGATGTTTGTGAATGAAAATAAAAATAATAGACTAATGTATAGCATAGAAGATTTTTGCTTATATTCTCAATTTGTCTTCTATTTTTTAATTATATATTCTATTATTTTATATTCTGTATAATCTCTGTGATCTATTTTTCTATACTTATTCAGGTAACAAACAAAATACTTGTCCTGTACCTTGCTATTCATTGAAAATGGTATTCAGTTTTTGAAGTGTTTCTTAAATCATTAACTAAAACACACTGAAAAAGTGTTCAACCAGTGCAAACTGTTAGAGTGAGAATTATATGATTAAAAAGCCATTTGCTTCAGTGATTTTAAATCTAAATATAGGATTTGAAATGAAAAGAAATGACTTATTAAGTAAAAATGTGTAAAAAAAAAACTTTAGCACAACTACCTCCTGACTAGTGTTCAAGGACATCAGAAATGCTCACAGGAAAAGCCCTTCCAAGGGACTCTTGCTCTATGCTTCATGATGCCAAGATTCATTAAGTTGACTGTACATGCAAAACACAACCTCCCCTGTTGTTTGTGTAACCTCTTCCAGCACGTCCAGGCAAAGTCAACAAATGGCAACAAATCACTCCCAAATCCATCAGCACGACAGCAAAGTGCATGATCCATGTTCTGGCATTATTTATAATTTTTCCTCATGGAAACATTGTTTCTTGGTGTGGTGCACAGCAGTTAGGAGATGCAGAGGTGTGGGAAGCTGTGTGAGGGTGTACCTGGGATGTTTCCAGGGTATTATTTCACTTATATCCATTTTTATGAAGCAATAGCAAAGTTTGGGAGGGTAAAACTGGCACTGGGAATAAAATGCACTGACTACAACACATCATGAATTAGGGGAAAACCAGTTAACATGGTCCTCACACCAACACATCCCTGGCTTCTCACTGAGTTGAAAACTGCTCACCAGCTTCCTGTAATTCTTATTCCCTAGGACTGATAAAGTACAGCCTTTTACCAATGCATACAACCCCCTATGAGACTGACTTCTAATTATAGAAACTGCAAGCTGCACAAGCAGAAATGGCTGAAATGAGCTTCACATCACATCTTGCCTTAACCCTCCTAGACAAAAAAGCAATTTTGATTACTCAAAATACCTGAGAATGTTTAACTTATGCCATTATTATTGAATAAATGTATTATTAAATTGAATAAACTCCTTCTGATAAAGGGATTAGTAATACCTGCACTATTTTTCAATATTTTCCCTAGTCAGCCAGCAGCAATCTTATTTTTTTTCTGCCTTGTGGAGAAAATATTGAGTTAGTTGCTCTTCCTTCAGGATTGCTGTAGTGTTCTCTTACAAAAAAAAAAAAAAATCCTGTGTAGTTTTACTTATCCCAGAAAGTGATAATTAAAATCTGAATAAAGGTGAGTAAATGTGATTCTACATCACGTACCTCCTCAGCTGCAACATAAATTAGGAATTGCAATGACTTTTCCGTGGTTCAACCTCTAAGTGTGCAAAAATTTTGGAAATGGTGGTGAGGGATTTAATAGAAGTATATGAAACTCCCTCCTTATATATAATAAAATCATAAAATGGTCTGTGTTGGGAGAAGCTTTAAACTCATCTTGTTCTACCCCCTGCCATGGCAGGGAGGTCCTGGCTGTGCTGGAACCCCAGGGCTCTTATGTGTCTGTGATGACTCTTTCCTGTCATGGTGTGAATTGTACAATTTTGTTGCCTTTCTTTTGGGAATTTGCCACACTCTTAGATTTTGGAGATTTTTTTTTTCTTCTTTTTCTTTGCCTGCTTATACACAGAATTTACCTAAGTGTGAATTATTTCTGAGAAGCTGCTGTGATTGATCATAGTGCCAGAGTAGGAGCAGATTATCATTCCTGGATCTCAAGCTTTCCTGTTATAAATATCTTACACTAAAAGATGATTACATTCAGCTTATTTAGTGAGTCCCAATGCTACAGAAGAGATAGTACAAAAATAATAAACAAGAAAAATTCAGTGTTGCTGCAACACCAATGGGAGCCACAGTTTGAGGTAAAACATATGCTGAAGAGTCAGTACCACAATTCAGAGGAATATCTGAGATAAATGCACTTCATTCAACAGAAATTAGAGTGGTGTTTTTTAAAATGCATCTGACAGACTGTAAGAAAATGGAGAAAAAATGCATAACTCTGAATTTTAGACTATAGACAGATAATTCAATCTTCTGGATAAAGTGTATGCAACAGCTTTTGATTCCTGTGAACATCACAAATGTTGTAGATGGAGCAGTGGTTGGTACAGAGTGGTTGGTACAGAATGGGAATTCTGTACTCAAACTCCTGCAAAACAGACAAAAATGTAAGGGAGAAGGGGTTGGAAATGCTCCTTTGAGTAAAGTTTTTATTTTATATTG